TAGGAAGGTAACTCAGAACACCTGGTAGTTAAGATTTTTCCCCCCGCTGCAGTGCCAGAATTGAACAGTGTACCCAACCCTGCCAACAGGAAGCAAGCCACTAACAGAGGATGCTCAGCCTACAAAAGGTCATTCCCTTCCTTTTAGCTCCTTGAAAATATTAATTTGAGGAAAACCAGATCATGTGCACACACACATTCACTTGAAATTTTTCTTAAATTTAAGCATTGCCCTAGCTGCACTCTCTTCAACCCCAGCATTCCCAGAGTGTGTAATTCACCCAAAAGCTTCCTAAGCTTTTGTTTTAGTAACAACTGTGCCAGCTCAGGTAACCACTGCTCTCCTCCACCAGCTCACTCATCTGTGCACCAAGTATGTATATACTTTCATAATAAAGTCCTCAAACTAAGTAACTTGAGGAGTCTCAAATTCATCTCTTCTGACTAACAAAAAGACCAGAACTAAAGCTTTCTATGCCCAAATTAAAGAAGGTCAGTGAGCTATGTCAATTTTTATAAATATTAAAATAGTCTTCTCGTATTTTAGGATAGGGAACGCTCTGCTGCTTGCCTGCTAAAGCTGTCTATCTCCAGGGTCACAGATAAGTAAAATACTTCTGTTCAAAGGCCTGAACTCTTGAGTTGCTAATTTAACCAGCTCTTGAGAAGACTATTACTGAAACTCAGGCTGTTCTATCCAGCTATCCAAAGATTTACCCCTGCTTGTATTTTTGACTACTCCTAAAAATCTAATGAGGTGCCTAATTAGAGGAAAGAGTGACAAGGACAGGCAAAACCCCCTTTTTTAAAATAGTATATAGATTTTTGTCATACACAAAAAAAAGACACATGGACAGGCAAAAGGGTGGGTTTTTTTTAATAATATACAGATTTTTGTGGCAAACAAAAAAATTTATTGAAAAGTTTGAAAAAAACTGGCAGCTTTTAGCAGAAGTACATGGCTTGAATCATCTCATGCAACCCTATTCCCAAGGCAATACTGTGTTCCCCATCTCAAACCAACACAAGAGGACCTGTTTTCTCAAACTCCCCAGACCCACATTTTTATTGACATTGCTGGCATTTCCAACAACCTTATGGAAGCAATGACTGTAAACACTAAGAAATTGCACCATAAGTTATCAGTATCATGATTCTTGCTGAGTACATTTGAGTCCTAAAGAATGTACATGACAAGCTCCACATTCCAATACTCCAAGACAACTGGACTGCCTGAAGAAACCAGGGCAGTTATTGAACGGGTTTGTAACATGCCAAGTCAGTCCGCCAGTGAGAACAACCCACCAGAATCCACACCATTCTGCAGCACAAGCAGTTGCCAACAGCTGCACAAGTACTAACACATAACAAAACCCCATCGTCCTCATGCAGAGCTGTATCCTGTGGATCTTTCCCTGCCAGCAACTAAGACAGCCTGCATCCTTTACTCACAGAGAACCTCAGAAAAGTGAGGATAAAGACAAAAGACACATACCAGAGAAAAAAAAGTGATAAACAGATCCCAGAGAACTATTAACATCACAGCCTTTATAGTCATCTTCAGTCTTGATGGTAGACAATTACAGTGATATCCCTGGATAGCTGCTAGGTTAAATGTGAACAGTGAGGAACACATACAGATTATTTCAATTGTGTATAATGACTCAGACCAAGCAGATTCCTTAAAAAAACCCCACCATTACCATGTACAGTTACTGCAAGATCCACTGCAATGAAACAAACTATTCCTACAAAGTACAGATGCAATTATCTGGACTTGTGCAAAACCTTTGACATAATCCCCCACAACATCCTTCTCTCTAAACTGGTGACAGCTGGACTCAGTGGGTGAACTGTTTGGTGCATAAGTAAGTCATTGGACAGTCACATCCAGAGGGTCATGGTCAGTGGCTCAGCATTCCAATGGACATCAGTAACAAGAAGTGCCCCTCAGAGGTCCATACAGGCACTAGTTATTCAGTATGTTCATTAATGATAGACAAAGAAATCAGTTACAGATGGCACCAAGCAGAGTGGTATGGTTGCCACACCTGGAAGATGGGAGGGCATCTAAATGGATCTGAGAAGTGGCTCATGGGAATCTCATGAGGTTTAACAAGGCCAAGTGCAATGGGCTGCACCAAGGTCCGGGCAACTGCTTGTATCAACAACATCTGGGGATGAACAGATCAAGAGTAGCCCTGCCTAGAAGGACTTGGGGGTGCTGGTGGGTGAAAGGCTGGACATGACCCAGCAACAGGGATTTGCAGCCCAAAAAAACATCAGTGTCCTGAGTGTCCAAAGCACTGAGGGCAACAGGGAGAGGAAGGGAATTCTGTCCCTCTGCTCTGGTGAGGCCCCACTTGCAGTGCTGCCTCCAGCTCTGGTGTCCCAGCACAGGAGGGACATGGACCTGTTCAAGTCCACAGATTATCAAGTTTAAGATGCTCAGAGAGATGGAGAATCTCCTCTATAAGGAAAGGCTGAGAGAATTGGGATTGTTCAGTATGGAAAAGATAGCTTTGAGGTGACCTAATCACAGCTTTCCAGTACCTGAAAGGAACTCAAAGCTGAAGGGAAACTTTTGAAAAAGAGCCTGGAGTGACAAGGGAAAATGGCTTCAAACGGAAAGAGAATAGGGTTCAGTTCTTTACTGTGAGGGTGGTGAAGCATTGGGATAGACTGCCCAGAGAAGCTGTGGATACCACATCCCTGAAAGTGTTCAAGGCCAGGTTGGATATGGTTCAGTGTAAACTGACCTAACCCAAGGTGTAGCTGCCCATGGCAGAGAACTTGCAAGTAGATAAGGTCCCTTATCTACACAGATAAGGTCACTTAAGGTCCCTTTCAACCCATCCATGACAAGCTGGCAACTTTTGTTATATTAACAGCTATACAAAAATGCACAATTGTCAAAAACAAGGACACAACTAATGTTTTGAGGAACCACGAGTGTGCACTACCAAGTTTACAGATTCTGCCTTGTTCAGGAGGAAAGATGAACCAGCTTTAGCCGAGACCTAGAAAAAACATGTTATCCTCACAAGATCTGAAGGTCCAAAATCAAACATTTAATTTTACTAAATGCCATGAAATGGCATTCCAAACCGTTCAGGAGTCTAGTTGTCCACCTAATTTGGAGAAAAAACATGGAATTAGTTGACAATTTATGATTAAGCTATAAGGTTTAGCTCCTGTAACATAACCTACATGTGCACATTCATCAACTTTTTCTATTTAAATGACTCTCTGTGCTTTGGACCATAAACACTAGATGAGAGGAGAAACTCCACATAAGTACAAACCATTTACAGAGCTGTCACAGCTGAAAGAATATTCTTCATGTCTCACTGAAGAGGTCTGTTTTGCTGAGACAAATGTAAGGGAAAAATGCTTCTTCCTTCCTTTGATCTACACAGCAACACTTCTACAGTGGGTCCATCCTCCCATCCCCATTTAGATACATCCGTCTTGGTGAGAGAATGATGCAAACATTGCCCTCAAAAGTAAAGGCAAGTGGAAAAGCCTACCTAAAATCAAAGCAATTTTTAAGATCCTTACCACATTTTCTAATGAACAGCATTGCTTTTTATATCATAGAGGAGCTAACATGCCTATGGCTTATTTTCAATACACCTACTTCATCCCTGGCAATTTGCATCCTTCTGCAAAACCAGTCATTGTTGTAACTCTTGAACCTACGGTAGTTCAGTGAACTACAGACACAAAGAGGCCATTGTGGGGGCTGGTTGGTTTCTCTGAAACTAGTTTTTACACTACTCTAGCTTACCAATTCTGCTCATACTAGTCAAGCACAAGATGCAAGGAAAATAGCAGGACTATCTCATTTACCATTAGGTCACTATTAAAGTGGCTAAACCACCCTGAAAAAAAACTCGGTGTAAAAGGGAAACTGAAAGGTTTTCACTGTGAAAACCACCGAAAGCACAGTCTTCGGGAACAATTGCAGTAACACCTTCTCCTTCCTGCTCCCGGCTCTCCGAAGCGCACATGCAGCAATGCCACAAAGGGCACAGCTCGCAGCAAAGCCCCCGTGGTCAGAAACCTCTTCCCAAACCAGGCTTTTAAAAGATTTTGTCTGCAGATGCAGGGAACTGCCTTCACACCGAACTGGGAAGGAGAAAGGGGTTCCACACAGGAGGCCAGGCCGGCCCGGGCGGGTGCCGGGAGGCCACACCGAGCCCGCGGCCTGGCTCAGCACTCAGCGAGGCGCTTTGGCGCCCGCGGCAGCTCCCCCTTCCCCCACCAAACCTTCCCCCGGCTCGGCCGCGGCAAACGTGCTGGTGGCCGCGGCGCCGGGCCCGAACGTGCCCCCTGCAGACACCGCGGTCAGGCCCTGCCACGGCCCGGCGCTCCTGCCCCAGGTTCCAGCAGCACCGCAGTGACACCGCACTCCGCGCCAGCCGCCAGTCCGCCTCAAGCGCGGTGCCGCCGCAGCGCAGGGGTGCCCCGGCCCACAGCCAGGCTCTCCTTCCCTTCCCCGGCCCTGCCGCTCGGCGCCTCCCCCCCGCCCCCGCGGGGAAAGCGCGCCCGGGGGAGCCGCACGCCAGCCCCAGTCCTGCCCAGCCCCGCCGGTGCCCCCGAGCGGGGCAGGAGGCCGCGGCGGGCCGCCCGCCGGCCCGGGGACACATGCGGGCACCGCAGACAAACACGGCCCGGCGGGAACGCCGGGGAAAGGCCGGAGGGGGGAGGCGGCGCCCGCGCGGGCCTCAGGCTCGGCGGCCCCGGCCAGACACCGAACGGGGTGGGTGGCGTGGGGAAGGTGCGCGTCCCCCGCCGCCTCGGAGCCCGGTTACCTGTGGCGCCGAGCAGGAAGTCCAGGGTGCTGTGCCGCGCTGCTGCTGCCATAGTGAGGTAGAGCCCTGTGCCATGCCTGGAGCGGCGGCGGCGGCGCGGCCGAGCGGCGGAGCGGCCCTATATGCGCGGGGCTGCGGCGGCGCCGGGGGGGCAGCGCGGCGGGGCGGGGCCGGGGCCGGGGCGGGCCGGGAGCGGCGGGCCCGGGGACCCGCCCGGCGCGGCCGAGAGCCCCCGGGGCGCGGCTCCGCGGCCGAAATCCCTGCCCGGGAACCCCGTAGTGGTGTCCCGGCGCTGAGGCCGCGGGTGCTGTGTGTCACCTGCTGCCCGCCCTGGGCACGGAGCGGGCCCGCTGGCCCTCCCTGCAGAGGCACCACCACCAGGGAGCCTTTAAAGCCTTTTGTTTAAAGTCCTTTTTATTCTTAACGGGTAACTGTGAAACAGCGTGCTGAATCCACAAATTATATTAATCACGTAGAGTTACAAACCCAGAAAAATAGTATCCAGAAGTAGTTAGCTACAAGATTAATCACAGAATCACATCACAGAATCAATTAGACCTCTGAGATACCGAATCCAACCTGTAGCCGACCACCACCGTGTCAACTAGACCATGGCACTGAGTGTCACGTCCAGTCTTTCCTTAAAAACATTCAGGGCTGGTAACTCCACCACCCCTCTGGGCAGCCCATTCCATTAACCTTTCTGTGAAGAAATTCCTCCTAATGTCCAACCTAAATCTCCCCAGGTGCAGCTTAAGACTGTTGTCCTGTCGTAGGCTGCCTGGCAGGAGAGACCAAGCCCCATCTGTCTACAGTCTTCTTTCAAAGCAATTGTAGAGAGCATAAGGTCACCTCTGTCTTTTTTTCTCCAGGCCAAGCAACCCCAGCTTCCTCTGCTGTTCCTCATCAGACTTGAGCTCCAAACCCTTCCCAAATTCCACTGTCCTTCTCTGGACATGCTCCAGCCCCTCAACATCCTTCCTGAATTGAAGGGCCTAGAACTGGGCACAAGACTCCAGGTGTGGCCTCACCAGTGCTGAGGACAGGGGAAGATGTTTGGCTGCATCAGTCACTAGCTTTATTGCATGAATTAATGTGGATTTGCACAATGCCATGGCATCAATGGTTTCACATGATTCCACAATTAAATGAAAAGATTTACAAGTAACTGCCATGTGAGTAATCTAATGTGATACCATGATTATTTCCATAACTTTCAATAAAGATTTTTTCAGGGCGAACTTCCAGTATCCCTGTTTTGAACAGCTATAGCTCTGCACAGACACCCTGAGCAAAGCAGAAGCATTCACTGGAAATGTGCATCAGAAGACACACAGCAATCTGCAGGTCTGTACTAACTGTACTTTTTTCAGATGGTCTTCATGTGACACAGCTCATGCATGAGAGGCTGGGGGATTTTATGATTCATTAGCTAAAATATACAGCTTTGCATGTTCCCATTCAATGTCTTTGATCAAGTTCTGGATGTTATAGGGATTATATAGTTCTGTTTGGGTGGCTTGTGTATCCTTGTTGCCATTCCGTCCGGAATTCTGATTTTTCTTTTTGTTTTAATGTAAGGAAAATCAATGCTTCCTTGCTGCCAACTTCAATCTCTCTACATTTTTTTTTCAGGACATGCAACTGCCACAAGACAGCCAGTAAAATCCCTGCTCTTTCAAATCTCTTGCATCTCTCACCTTTGCTTGTGGCTGCTGCAGTGGTTTCAGTTACCTCATTCCATGAAGGAGCTTACTGGATTGATTTTTAGTCTCTTCAGTGAGACCAATGCCTTGTGTTCTGTTCAAGCTATTATATTGTCTATCCACTGTGGAATAATTGGAAGAAGGTAGTAGTGATGCTTCCACCTAAGTGCCTTCAAATGTATTTGTTCATATGTGCTAAGTGCCTTGCTAAATTATGCCCTTACATACACATGAACAACTTTCCTGGGTTTACGGGGAAGGAAAAAAAAAAAAAAAAAGGAACATCAATATGTCATCCAAATATTTTCCTGACATTAGTTTTGCAATTGAAGGCCAACCATTTCAGACTGGCACTTAGAGAAAGTTGAAACATCATCTTTTTAAATAAATTTGCTGTAGAAAAAAGAACAGTGGTTTTACTGTGTCATTTTATATGATGAGAATTTTGTGATTTTGTAGTGGGCTGAAAAGCTGAAAAGGCTAATGAATTACTCCAAAGAACTATATAAAGTCTTTCTTAAACTTTGACTTAAAGGACAGTTCTTATGCATAAATGGCTTTTGCAGCTGCTCATTGGGTTAGGTGGAAATGGGAAAGCTGAAAAAACTACATGAAAAAATTCAATAAAGGGTGAAAAAGAAGAAGAGGTTCATCTTGGAAACTTTGGTAGAGCTGTAGGAAAACACCCAACAAGAGGAAGAAACCTGCAATATCCGTATGTAGGAGTGAAAGCAAACAGTAAATTACATATGGTTTTACAGAAAAGCATAAAAAGAAAGCCCACGGAATTTAAGCCTCCTTGTGCAGGATCCCATTGCTGAGGAAGGAACTAACACAATTCTCTTCCACTTCTTTGGCATGACTACTTTGGGCATACTACTTAACTAGGTCATGCCTGGGATATTTTTGGGAATCTTCCTGTTAGAAAATTACACTGAAGGGAATTTAAAAAACGGCAATTAAAATAATTAAAGAGATGAAGGGATTGATTTATGAGACAAGATCAAAAGATCTGGAATATTAAAACATGTTTCACAAATGCTGTGGAGTTTGGATGACATCACGTTGTTAAGATTAGCACAGACTGTTTGGAAAGAGTTTATTCAGTGTGAGGTTACCTGCGTATTTTGAAACTAGTAGAAACTGGAAAAGTGGGGAAAAAAGGTTGAGGCACCAGTGTTTGAAAAGCTTTGTGCTGAAAATCAAGGGCAGAGACCATACCCTCTACAGGTAAATTGGATAGATTAGACAAAAGACACCAGCTGATGGGAACAATCCTTGCACTGACAAATAGCTGGGACAAAGGCTTTGCAGAGTATGCAGTAACCTGCACCAGATGCGTGGTTTAGCCTGCATAACCCCTGTTCTTCATGCAGGACCACAGCAGGCTGAAATACCAAGTGTTTCATGTCTCAAGTTTTTTTAAGCAGGGTGTAATAGCATTTTTAACCACAGGTTCCCTGTTCATCCTCTCTGGCTACATCTACCTCTGTTCGTTGTTCTAAAGATATTTCACCTACAACTGCCACAATCCTAAATTCACCTCAGGAATGAAAGATAAACCAAACTTCTTCTCATACACGGCTAAGAAACATCCCTTAAGAAAAATATTCTTTTTCCTTATTTTTATAATCTGTTCAGAAATTCATTAACTTCAGTTCCTGCTGAGTCCAGCCCAGGGTTCACTAAGGTTGCCTAACAACAGTAGATTTTTTTTCCCTGAATGGCTAAAAAGTTTCTAAAGTAATAATACATTTAAGACAGGAGTTCACAAGGGTTCTTTTCACCCTTGTTTAGGAACACTTGTATATCTTATGGCTTTATCACTTGGGAATTATGTGGCCATCTCACAGTGCTAATTGAAACCTTGAAATTAAATGTATCTATCTAAAATTAACTTACACATGAGTTTTCTCTCTATGCCTAGTTCTGTATATTCGAAGTATTGTTAAACATTAATGCAGTACAATTAAATAAGCAGAATAACATGTGCAAACACATTACCCCAAGCTGAAGTGCTTGCTAGAAGATAGCACCAAAATGGGAAAAGCAGGGGCTGCAAGCAGAAGAGGGTTATAACTTGGTACAAACCCCTAAAAGTGTTTTCATCCTCTTCATTGTTTGTGCATCTGAATGATTTTTTCCCTAGGAATTTTATTTTTTTGAACACAGCTCTAGTCTTAAGTACTTGCTTATCATTGACAGAAGTCATGGTAAATTTTGAGAGGAAGGAGAGGGAAGATAATACTTCATTTTAGAAAAATATTGGTGGGGTGGGATGGGAAAGGGTCTTGTAAGTTGATGGTTGTTTTAGAAATTATTTGAGGTGACAATGTGGTATCACAATTGTGACCAAACATGAAATTAACCACTTTGCAAAACAGCGTTATCTTATTATATAAGATGAAATTCATGTTTTCTGGAGGTGAACAACCGTTTAATACAGCTAAGAAAACTAGAAGTGATTATTGTAATGAATTTGCTTCTTTAATTTGTATTTCTACTCTTGTGCCTGAACATGTTACTGTTTACTAAAACAAATACAGTTTATCCCCCCTCTCTTGGATGCTTTGTATCTAATATATAGGCTTGCTGGGGCATAGCTCTAGAGGCTTAAAAAAAAGATAGCAAACTGTCCATTTCAAATTAAACTTAGGCAGTGTGGAGTCTACATCTTACTGGAAATTATGAGAAAAATCTCTGACTTTAAAAACAAGCATATTGAGTTCAACAGGAAATTTACTCAGATAGATTACAAGATGAATAAAGACTCTTGTTTTTCTTTTTTTTTTTTTTTTTTTTTTTTTTTTTTAATTCTGCAAAGAAAGACCCTGGAGAGTCAAATTATATCATAGGATGTAAGACTTCTCACAGAACAAGAGAACAATTTCAGGAAGTTAGCAAACTCAGATAAGAGTTAATTACTTAAATAAGTGCTACCATAAATTATAGCAGCTATTATACTCCCTGATTTTTGAGAACCCTCTGCTGGATTTTAGCCAGAGTGCTGTGTGTGAACCCTTGGGATTTCCTCTGGTCCAAATAGACTCTGGTCTGTTTCCTTTGGGCAGAGGTTATTTACCATGGAGGTGAGACCTTCAGTCCAGTCATCCCAGGATCCTGGTCCTCCTGCACATCGTCTTCAGGGACACCTTACTTGCATTAAAACACTCACTAATAAGGCTTCAATCTTGACAGAAACTATTGAATTATTTTGATAACACTGAGAAATAGCCACAGAAAACACTTACAGACCCTTCCCTACCTTTGCCTTCCCAGCAGCAGTCTCTAAGCCTAGCCCACATGGTACCTTTAACCTGCACATATTGGGAGGTTTGGGGTTGAGGTTTCTTCCTAACTGCCAAAATGCCACAGACCTGATGGAGTTTCTTCTGTGTTTCTCTGTAGATGTTTGACCATTCAACAGAATTCCCCAGAATCCTAATGAGTATTTCCTCACCCCCAAACCAAATATAAGGAAAGGCTAGATGAACACTGCTTTTCCATCCCAACCACAGTCTTGTGGTGAACTTAGCACATGATATAGCAAAATTTGATCAAGCTCTTCTTTAACATCTGTGTCATCTCTCAGAACAATTACAGTCTACAAGTCCCTCTTGGTGTTTGAAAATAGCTGTTGAGGAATGTTTTTTATAACTCCTATCAGGTAATTTTCCCTATTCACTCTTTGTCCCCAGTCATCATCTAATCCCATGGGCAGCTCATCAGGTGATTCCCAGTAACACATCAGATTATCATCCTCTTGGATAGCGACAAAGGACTTGTCTGGCTTGTCCACCTTCTGTCACCTGTCACATTGTCTGGATGCACCTCCCCAGGCATCGATAGGGCCTGCCAGTACTAGTCTTCTTTTATGACCTAAGCTATAGAAGTTACGTGTGATGGCTGCATCAGCTTGTTAGAATATCTAAACCACTCCCAAGTGGTGACTTACAGAGTACAGGACAGGACCTGTGGTTCAAAATCAAAAAGAACATAACAGAAAAAATTGGATTCTGATGCTTCATTTCCCCCCACACAAAGCAGAATGGCAGCAAGCTCAGGTGAGGTCAGATAACCAGTGCTAGGGGTGACTGTGTGTGACATGGTTGGGACTTCAGGATAGCCCTTGTTTCCAGCAGCAATACAACACAATCATTTGTCTATTACATTAAGCTGGTTTTGCTTGGTTTTATTTATTTTTTTTTCCTGTTCTCCTTCTGTTTCATTTCTATGTCCTAATAATTGCTGTCACAAAAGCAATAATAAGCAGGTTTCCCCAATCCCTTCAAGTTACATCATTCTGTCTATTCATTATATTTTCCCATGGTACGCAGGTGGCTTCAGGAAGAGGCTACCCCTAGATATCAGATAACACACTGAATAGATAAATCCCCTCTTTTTCATCACAGCACTTTGTATCCAGTGGACACCATTCTCCTTCCTGCAGCTACAGCTGAAACAATGTAGATAGTATAGAAAACCTGATCAGGGTTAAATAATTTATTTTATACCTTGTAAAACTCTTTGTATTAGGGAAAAATATACATGGGGGATAATTTGTAATCCTAGCCTCTCATAACATGAAGAAAATAAGATTCTTTCTGATCAATTTTTTTTTTTTGGGGGGGGGGGGAAATCCCTGCACAGAGAAGAATGGATGGTAAATTGATTAAAATTAGAGTAATTAATTCATCCAGACAGCATGGAGGCAGTAGAACAAATGAGCAAAAGAGAGGGAGTGTAAAAACAATACAATAGAAAAGATGTTTTACCTTAACTAGACATCAGTAATATGTACTTTATATGCATGTTTTGCAATATTATTTCTCATGAAGTTGTCTTGTTCCTTTTAGTTACCTTTTCCAATTCTCTTTTGAGTGATGATGCCTCAGCTTTCATTCTGTGAGAAATGCTGATAAATTCTAGTGTGAATTTTATTTTCATATCTGTATTGTATACTGGATTCTGGGCTTCTTACATTAAATTCTGTTGCCACTGAAGTCAAAGACAGACTTAATGCTACCTTCAAGGGAGCCAGAATGTCAGTATTTGTCTGGTGCACTGCAGACAAGGTTAGACCAATACTCTTTTTTACCTGGTCCTTTGACTTTTCAGGCAGAATTGTATGTAACAGCATTCAAAATATAAAACCAAGGAGCATGAACAAAATGCTTAAATACATGCCAATAACTCACACTAGCTACAATTAAGACATAAACTCAACTCAACCCCTCAGAACTCTATAAGGGGTATTATTCTATTGATGAGTTCAGCTTTCTTACTGTGAGACAAGGTATTACTATTATGCCTGTCATGAGTGAACTTTTTGATTGCAAGTGCAATAAGAATTCCAAGTCACAAAATGGTCTCTTCTGCAAAGGGATTTCCAGATTAAAGAAAGGAATAATGTCTAAATAGCAACATGCCAGTGCAGAACAGCTGTTGTACATCAGGCTCTCCTGTGCACCCTGTTCATGAAACTTATCTCCTCTAACTCAGATATCTACAACCCAGAA